CATTTTTTCACTTTTACTGAACTCATCCTGCGTGCTACACTGAGTATTGAACAGCGAAACACAAAACGATTCTACAGGTTTACAACATCACTCATTGCTATAAGTGGTCAAGTCTTATTAGCGTCTAATTTTCAATGTTTAGTAGAAATGCGTGGCACAATGAAAAGTCGAATAATTGATCGAATTGCAGCGGTCATGGTACCTGTTGGTTTGATAGGAGCTGGTACCTTACTTGGTGTTGCTAAAAATTTCTCATTTCATTCTGAACGTCTTCTGCTCAGTTTTCGTTTGCGTCAAATCTCAGTCGGAATTATTATTTTATATATTATATTCTTCTTTGTGCTTTGGCACTTCAATATATCAAATGTTCGCCGTCGTTACATTAAGCAGCTGTTGATTATTACGAGTATTTGTATTATTATCGACGCTATATATGTACTTGCTAACGCAATACCTTTTCTTTTCTCTCGACTCAATGAAAATGAAATTTGGTTCTATGTAGGCCATTTAATACCAGTTTTTATCGCTCAGCTTACCTGGTCCTTTCTTTATTGGCGGAAAACACCATCTCATTCTGACACGATTAGTGATCATCGTGAGAACCGTGAAGAAACTCTTTTATCAACTTCGAAAACTTAATTGACCGTTTACTTCTATTGATTCTTGAATGTTATCTCTTGTACTTGCATATCAGTCACGATAGATATTTGCATTCATATATTCTCATATGACAGTTTGAATAATAAATCTATTTATATTCCTATATTCCAAAAATAATAGTTCTCAAGGTTAATGTCACCAGAGTTGGAACTGAACTGGATTTTTGTCAGTTCATCATTACAAAATTGCTGTTTGCACCCGAGAATTTTCTCTACTGAAAACGATGTTTTTATAATATTTTCAAATCGAAGGAATATGTTTGCGAAAGACTCAACAGATTTTTTCTTTCGACTTGATTATAAAAGATTGATTGTTCTCTTTATATTTCTATCAATTTCTTTCTCGTGTATCGCTCACTTCAAACTAGATCACATAATTCATTTTCTTGTTCTACTTAGACAACTACCTGAATTAAGAAAAATAAACATTTATATTTTTGTACTAGCTACGTTATGAGCTTAGTTTTTTCTTTCTTTTTTGAAATTACGATAAAAAAGGAACAGATTTTATCTGAATAACTAATTAAAATCGATATCTGGTTCGACAAGTCGACGCATCTTATTATAAAATATGATAGTGAGAGTTTCATTCTCAAGTTTTAGTTTTTATTTCAAAATATAGCGTGTTCCACTGGTTTTTGAATAATTCAACAACGTAATTAGCTAAAGATTTACGATTTTCATCAATCGAAAGAGGAGACATGAGGACGTCTTTTTCTCCATTATTGTATAAGACGAAATCTGTTGACAATCAGTCATTTCTACAAAATATTGCAAAAAATACATGAAAACGATCTTTCAATCCGATGAAATTTTGGTTGTGATATGTAATTTAGATGGAGAGACTTCAGATCTATAGTTCAAAATATAATTCGAATGATTATCTTTCCACATCCTAATGTTGAACAAATAAAATTGTCTATTTACTTGTAAGAAAATTATAGATTTCTTTTAATTTTTAAGCAAATTTTCTTATTTTTCGTCAAAATTTCATCTGAATGACGGACCGTTGTTATACATTTTTTCGATCATTTGCAGAAATCGCTGATTCTAAAATAATTTCATCTTATACAATAATGGAGAAAAAGACCCCCTCCATATCTCCAGTTCCATTTTATGTGAACAGGTACTTTTATGGTCGGTTATTTTCGCTAGTTTGGCTGTAAAATTTATCCGATGGGACCGGGTAGAACAGCTGTTTCCTGTCCGGTTCCAACTCTGGAATAACGAATACCAACCGTTTTTTATATCGATAATTGTACCTGGATGATACGCTTTGAATATCTCATCAGTAGTTCGAATAATGATCGATTGAGTATCTTTTATTTTTATTCTTTGCAAATCATTACAATGTTTTACTAAATTTCGACAAATATTAAGTGCAGCAATTTCTGAAGTTTAATCCATTTATTTAAAGATCAAGATGACAATTTCTTCTCGACTAAATCAAGAGAAAGAAATGATTGATTTTCTTGTCCACGCAATATTTGCGAAGAAAAATTTACATCAAATAAAAAAAAAAATTCGTGAACGATAGGAACTTTGATTAGACTTTGAAAAAGACTTTTACTGAAAAACATTCTTTGCTCAATAGAATTCGATTCGTCTCTCTAGTCTAATTTGAAAGGTATAAGTTCATTTTTCAATTTGTCTTTTCTCGAAATCATCATGAAAATGTGAAAAAGTCAGTTTCAACTTTGACGACCAACAATGTCTTTCGAATTGTTCAGATGAGCGTGAATGTGAGTAAGGTCTCTTTCATCGTCTACACACTCAAAAAAGCAATTAAAATTTCGTAATCAATCATAACAGATGCGCAAGAATTTTAACATCACAGAAATGATGCTCAATGATCGATTTTTAAATACATGTTTGTGTTCACTATGAAACTGATGTGATTGTTTATTGAAAGAAAAACCGGTATTGATCTTGACTTATCGACTGAAAAACTGTGGTTCTGGTTCTGAAGAACTTGGTAAAAGATGCATCGCTCTGTATTGGGCTTGTGCAGAACAAGGTGAACAACGAGAGTGCTAAATCAGATGAACCTTCATAGTTCATTGTTTTTTTTTGCTTCGTTCATGTATCGATTCGATCATCTCCGATTTAGAGATAGAATTATATCAAGAATAAGAGCTGAAGTGAAACACGATCGCATAGGTGATCAAGAATCACATTGTCATGAGTGATTCTGTCTTCTGCTATATTGTTCTCACGAACTGTTGGATAGGAAGATCATCAAATTATTCATACACAAATGCTGTGAAATAATATTATGAAAATCACTTAATGTTTGTGCTATTACTTTTACATCATATGTCGAGTAACAAATGTAATATTTCTTTCAGCTAAAATATTCCAATTTCAAAAGCCTATTTTCTTAAAATATCTCTATGTATTTGCTTGTTTATTTCATCATTCAACTAATTCCAGGTTAAGCGTGATACTGTTTGTGAACGAAAAAAAAACAACAGTTCGTCCACTTGGATTAACCATCACCATCAATACTAGAACAATTTGTGATGGCATAGTTTAGACGTTGGTACATAATATCCGTTGTCGAATATTCGGGTAAATCAAGAGTAAAAGTACATGTATGCGATTCTAGAATGAAAGAAAATAAGTTCGTCGATGAGATAATTCTAGAAATTTAATTCAATAACAGATCGACATAAAAGAATTTTAAAAGATCGATTTGGATGGCACTGGAGAGAGAGAAATCTTCTTTTTTTCAGAAGTCCAACTAACACTAGGATTCAAACGGTGAAAAAATGAATAATGTTGAAAATCAAAATGTAGAAAGAAAACAAATATTGAAAAATAAAGCCTAATTAGATCTGCTTATTCTTTTTGTTAAGCGTGTGGATGTGAGCGAAGAGACCATCCATATTGGCAACAATACTAACATGCCTGCGTAGACACGAGCAGAGAAATTTACTAAGGATTTAATGGAAAAGTTAAAATGTCGACAAAATTCAGAGAAATGTCAAAGCATATTTTTTTGAAAACTATTGAAATTAAATATATCGAAAGGAAATAGAAGGGCAGATGGCAATGCTTTTTTTTACGGTGTTTTATATTAGAACACTTCCTAATACTTCAAAGATAAAATTATTCTGTAAGCGAGCATTCAAATTACTAAATCTCTTAATTGACTTACGTGGAAGCACTTTATCTACTTCATCAGGTGATGCATAGTATGAATTGATACAAAATTTGCATGTAAAATCTTCATTCGAACGTGGTAATGTACTTCGTCCCCAAACGAAAATAATAAACGATTTCTTTTGTTCCTCATTGAACATTTCACTTAGAACTGTCCAAAATCGTTCAATATGTGGTAAATCTTGATTATTTGAATCACCGTAATGCGTGTTTCTTTTTAGAAGTTCTATATCAATATGGCCTTTTCCACATACGGCTTCTTCAAGTTCACCGGCTGTAAATAAGCTCAAATAATAACATGGAACAACACTATACAATCCTTGACGAATGAATTCAATTTGACGATTAAATTCATTCAAATGATATTCATGATATTTTGTACAGTAATCTTTGAAATTAGTTGCTGTCAATGTAATTTCTTTGCCACCAGGAATAAGTTCATAAGATTGTCCAGCTGAATTGATAACTTCAAATCGAAGTTCACTCATAATACTACTAAACAAATAATTGATATCAACATTTATATCGACAAATTCATCTTGAACAAAATTTGCTTGTATTTCTTTTATTATTTTAAAACATTGTATATCAATTGCTTCAATATCTTCAATAGTCACTTGTTCTCTTGCTAATTGTTTCCACAGAAATATGGGAAATTTAAAATCTAAATAATGTTTCTTTCGTATTGCCATACCCAGCAATTGTCCAACGAATCGATATTGATTTTTAAATGTATCTGGAATAGATTCATTTGGTGGAAATACATTCGGTATCCAGCGATCACGATTCAAGCCAATATTTGCTCGTCCATTTGGACATAAAATAAATAATGGTAATCGTGTACTACAAATATCGGAGCAAATACATGTGATTGAATCACGATAAGGTCCACCTGCATCAATGCTGTACATGCCAATATAAGTTGCTTCCCATAGATGATCATCCTCGTTTCGAAATGATCTATAAGCATCTTTATGTAATTGTTCATAGGCTTGATAAAACATAGTATTTTCGCCATTTTCACTCACCATAGTGGCTTTAACTAGATCAAATTCAATTGTAGGTCTGCGAACATATTCTATATTAGTATTTTCTAAAGATTCTTCGAATAGTTCAAATTTCTTCCGATATAAAAGGTAGTCTTTGACATTTCGAAGTCGATCTACTACAATACTTTGTCTCGGTACTAAACTCAAATCAATAATGGGCAGAACTTTTTCACAAATCATGTTCAATTGATAGATGATTTTTGCACGAATCTGTACACAATTAGCTGGAATAGTTGATAACAATGGATAAATTTTAAAAAATATTGGGTTTGGTTCGAATTCTGTAGGCAGACTAATGATGAAGTCGTTGAACGAAGTATCATTCGATAAATTATTGTTCATAAAACTCATTAATTCTTTGTCAACAATCGGATTAAAGTAACTATTGGATTTTTCAAAATCATCTGCTGTCAATATGTTATTATCACCCAGAATAGAACTAGATTGAGCAAGAAAAGCTTCAACCATTGGTGTTTGTTTGTTCTTATTGGTCAAAGTATCGATAACATCAATCATTATAAAGAGATTGTGAATATTTTTTGGACATGCATCTAATATTGATTGAAGTCGTTTGTTGAAACTACTCATATTATTCATGTCAGTTTGTTGATGATTCTGTCGAATCGAAAGCAAATAGAACACATCCATGACAGACATTCGAAACTTTTTCATCGATGTTTCATCTTTAGATAGTTCGACAAGTAATCGAAAGAGAAAACAAAGAATATGATCATATAAATTGAAATTTTCACTTGCTTGAATCAAACTAAAAAATAAAGTAAACTATAAATTCTATCTTTTTCAAACACATCAACCTACAGTTAAGTACCATTAGTTTTCCTTATCTCCTTCGGTACGTCAATGAATGACCGTTCACATAATCGCAGCTTAATGACGAGTAACTGCTCATTTTTTCTGTGAACAATGGTAGAACCATGAGAACCACAATTTTTCTCAAAATATTTTCAATTGAGCATCAAAGTCATTAGGAAATCATGCTCTTCCATCTTGTATGTGACTCAATAGTGTTTCGCAAACGAAAGTTGAAAGAGCCAAAATAGTTTTTTACACACCCACATTGTTTACTCAACTAGGGTGTGAATGTTGGCCTTGTCTTTACCCGTACTCTGAAGACAGACTGTTTTTTAAGACTTTTCGATGACATTTTTGTAGATTTTGGAATGTTCTATCTCTATTTAAGAAACTACTTCTGTTCTTTATAAAATAAGATGAAAGTGATTTATATATTAACGAAAATGATACCTTAAGTTACACCTAGCTAGATGCTATTCTTAACTTTTTCGACTGGACTTTTACTCTATGTTAAACTTTCTTGTACGGTTTTTTTTAGAAATCAATTCTCTATGAAATGTTTTCATTCATGTGAGTCAAGGCCTAAAATAAGGAAGGGTCCAAAATTCGACCAACTATTCAAAGTAGTGCTTACATAATTAAAGTCAAAACAGGTATTAAAATCAATGAATCAAACTGAAACATATAGAAATTGTATAAAGAGCCAGCCGTATAATTGTTGAAAATTTCCGGCAGATCGAACACTGTTTTCTGAGAAGCGGGGAACAAATCATTTAGAAAACATCCACCTTTTTGTTCTAACTTCTATTTCTTCGTGTTCGACTACGAAACAATCAAGATTTTCAGCGAAACAGTTTGAACCTTCTTGTAAATAAGATAAGAGAACTGATTGTGAAATATAGTTTACTTACATCGTAAATAAATGAAGGATGGAGATTTTCGGTTCATGCATTGAAACTATGAGAAACAGGTCAAAAATTAGATTGATTAGCATTTCCGGAAATAGAAATGAAATCATCAAATCAATTTCGTGTTGATTCATTACTGATTTATTTGCTATTAATTCTGCAAATATTTTTATTATCGTAAGAATAAATGTTAAATTAGGTTGATTAATTATCATTTGTTCATCGATGATAGTTGTTTGTTCATCATAGTTCTTTAGTAGTAATGATGGTTGAACCAGAAAAAGAATCAATTGCCTTATAATATCTTTTTGTAATTGATTCAGCAATGGAGCTTTGCTTTGAAATAAATAATCGTCCATTTTATCATGTGCTCTAATGTGTTTGTGTAGTATATCCATTTCAGCTTGTAACATGGACTTTGCTACAATACTCAAAGTATCAATATTCGAATTTATCCGATCGTTGATCGAACTATAATGATATTCCATCAATCGTAGTAAAGTGATAATCAATTGAGAATCACCAAGTTTTTCTATTTGAAATAAACTTTGACCATTGTTCGACCAGATTTTGAGAAGATTGAAAACAGTTTCTCGTGCATAGATTAAGATTAATCCTTGTTCACAAGCAATTCGTGAATCGAAATATCGTTTCTGTGAAAGTTGTTGATGTGAATATTGAATCGATTTTTGTATTGTCTTTCGTGAACTTTCTGTCATTGTCATCATAACCGATTGTTCTAGTTCTGTTTTATTCAAATCGAGAAGTTGATAAACGAGTTCATCATTATGATTACTTATTGATCTATTTTGAATCCATTCTGTAAAGCTATTTTTCGTACATAAACCACGTAGAGCTTTCTGAAACCATTTGGTGTCTTCTGATTCACTTTCCATGGCGTCGTTGTCATCAATTGAGATTGTTGGTATTTGTAAATCATTCCAACTAGTCAACATCAACTCAGCCACTGCTAACAATTGGACTTCATTTTCAAGCTTGGTAAACATTATCTTATCTTCTAACTTTTCTTTATCAATAGATGGAGCTAACTGTGATAAAATGTTGAAATAATATTCTCGTCGATTCTTCAGATCGTTTTTGATTAATTGTTCTTTTTGTTCACGAATAAGCTTATCGGCTATTTGAAATGTGAATGTCTTGGATTGTTTGATGACCGATGTGATCCATGTTTCTTTATATCCAATAGCAGTTAAACGTGATACAATAAGTGATAGAGGTGGTGTAAGCCATGATTCTAGAGAATAGTCTGGTGATTCCATTGCATGATCAATCGAAACAGCTTGATTAAGAAAAGCGATCAATTTACATTCTATTCGTAATATATCGTCGGTCGTTGTATTCGTTGTCGAATTTTTTTCTCTAAACAAATAAATGGGATTTGTTTTCAGCGTAAACTTATCGTTTTCGAGTGCCAATGATCCATTTAGATAGATTTTTCCATAATTATCATCGATCAAAACAACAAAACGTACGCATTTGTTCAGTGGAAAATGTAATGTACTCATGTTCAATGTTCGATCATCTGATGAAAGAAAAAGACGACCATCATGTGCTATCCAAATGCTTAACTTTGAATTTAACATTACTAATGTCAATTGTTCATTATTCTTTGGAAAATTCGGTACATAAATATCAAGAATAAGTGTTAATTCAGAATTATGTACAGTGGATATATCTAGAACGAGATAAGTTTTATTTCCAAATAATTGCACAACAGATTGATTAGTTCTATGAATTGTTTTGAAATATTTCGATTCATCATTCTCGACTTGTATTTTCTTTTTCTGCCACAAATTCTCTTCGAATGGTTGATTAAATGGTACAAGTAATTCATTAGCAAATATTTGTTGATTTTCGCTAAATGTGAATACGTTGACTTGTCTTCGATATTCTTTCAATTGTTCATTATCACTGGCGACATAGGATAGTCCATATGTGAAGAGACGATGAATATGTTCTTCAGATAGAGCATATTTCCATATTGCAAGATTTCGAATTGCAACACCACCATTGGGTAAAATGTGCAAAATCATATTATCTGTCCTTTCATAATCAAATCCTCCATAAAATATTCGACATTTATTGTTCATATACAATTTTGTTTGTTGTTCGTTCGGATAGAATATAATTGCTATTCTTATCTCTTCGTTGACTTCATTCGATATTGGTATTTCTATTGAGAATAATTTCAGTGAGTTCAATGTCAATAGATGAATGTTAGTTTTACAGTCTGAATTATTATTTTCTGTGGTTACAAATTTAAAATCAAAGCTAATTGTTGATGGAAACGTTGAATTATCGATCGAAAATGATAAACCACCACTATTTTCTGGTAATATTAGATAATGATTATCAAGAATGAACGAGGTTTCTAAATGATTTTCATTGACAAAATCACGCAGACGAATGGTTGAAGTACTCAATCGTGATGCGTAGATGTAATTTTCAATATCGTCTCCGATTAAATAAGCGCTAAAAGGATAGGCCACAATCGAATTTTCAGTGTTAACTAATTTTGGTAATAAGAGTGGCTTGTAACCATCGGGCAATGGGCATGCGATCATATCTTCTGGACTAAGTATAAATTCACAACAATTTGAGCAATAACTATACGATTGCATAGAGACGCCCGGAAAATAGCTAGTATTTGGTCCATTGGGCTTCATGTCACACTTCAATCGTGATGATCCGCGATATGACTGATGCGCAAAAGCTGTACCTAAGCATTGTCCATTCAGCCAATATTTGATTCGAGTATTTTCACTATCGATTTCAATTCCACATCCACATACATCGTTTTGTTTCCAATGAATATCATCAACTGGATAATCATAACTACCATCATGGAAGAGAACTTGTCGTGATCCATCGTACGACCATGAATGGGAATCATCGCCTATTCCAAGACCATTCCTGGAATCAGGCGAGAATCCAGTTGTTGCCCATCCGATTTGAACAAGTTCACCGAGTGGCAATTTCACACAAAAGTACCATTTTCCTTCACTCACTTGCACATTATCAAGAATATAAGTCGGAAAGTTGCCATGACTACTATCGTCTCTCGTGTCAATACGTCCTAGAAATTTATGGTTATTACCACATTCTTGAAAAGTCTGTGCGGCAGGAATTCGATAGGGCATTGGAGTAACACACATGTCATCGTTTCCTATTCGACCTCGTTTAAATAGTTCGATTTCAGCTTCTGATGCATATACTTTCCATCCATTGTATTTCAATGAACTGGCAGTTAAAGTATCGACAATCTTTGGGTCACGATGAATTGGAATATTATCCCAAACGCTAAACGATGATATATCAGTTGTATCATTTTGCTTCATATCATAATGAAAATTTTCTTTTTCATGATCATCTCCTAATATTTGTTTTAAATATTCACAGTTGTCTAGACTTAAACAATATTGTTCTAAATGATCTTTACTAAAATGACGTAAATCAAATAACTGAAGTCGAGTTTTCAATGGTAAACTACAGACAGCTAATTTCGCAAGATATGATGCATAGGATTTTTGCATAAATATTTCTATTAGTTTTCTATCATTTAACAACTGATATAATGCGCCAATACAGCGACGTTTCAGTTGTAACACAAGTATGGAATCGAATGTTGATGTATCCAACTGTATGAAAGAACCAAATTTATCAAGAATCAAATCGATTGTTTCGTCAGCATGAGGAAACAAGTATGGATTTGGTGGTGGAACATTAATCTCAAGTTTTAATTTATCGGCTGTGATCCATTCAGCTTTGTCTATGTGAAAATATTGAACATAATAGGGCGATTTTTCAGGTGTACCTAAATCTCGAGCATTGATATCTACTTCTGTGATTAATCCCAAATGAAATTCATGACGATTTTCATCATCAACATAGATTTTTACAATCGAACCTAGACAATATGGCTGAATATATCCACCTAATATACATAATGATGCAATGAAATCAATTACTTGACTTTTATCAATATTATCAAACGACTTGAAATCATTGAAATTCGAGGCAATACTATCAATAACAAGTTGTGTAGCTATCGATTGCCATGGAGATTTAAGTGACATGATTGTTCGATAGAAATTAATTAATTCAGTTATGATATCTGGTGTGATTTGTTGTACATTGAATTTTCCACCAATTGAATTGAAAACTTCGATTAAAAAATTTTTTATAAGTACACTTGACATTTTGTCACTACTTTCTGACAATAACGGTATTAAATGACGTAATATTTTCAGTATAAGCGAAATACTAGTCATGTATTGACTGCGATGATAGATGTGCAGAAATTCTTCGATGTAATCAATCGTAGTACAAACGGATCGAACGTGTTGATAAGTATGGATACATCGAAGAAGAAAGATTATCCATTGATTAGTATAAATTTCAATGTTTGATTTTGAAGAAAACATATTCGATATGCTTGATATGTCATCGTCCGCTGTAACAACTTTGACGAACCAACCAATGGATACATTATTCAACGAGTCATTTTTTGCTTCATTAGAATCAATTTCTTGACTTTCTGCTCCAGTATTGAAAGTTTCTTTCAATTGCTTCAATTTGCTGAAAATTAATCTATTGAAAATCAAATCTCTTTGTTCTTGTAGTAGTAGATTTTTTGTACCATTCCATTCTTCAATTTGAATATTTTCACATAATCTCAATGTAAACAATCGAAACCAATTATATTCAATGAAATTTGTTTTCAATACTGTAAGATCATCGAATGTTTTTGTCAAACTAATAAACGATGTAAAAAATGTTTCAATAAATTGATAACGATGCAAATTATAAATATCAACTGATTGATAGGATAGATTCAGTAGATTGAACATCGATGATACCAAGACCATTGTTTCAGAACTATTCGATTGTAATAAATAGGAAAGAACAAGTTTGATGCATCCATAGTAGCTATTACTGATTTCTTCTTTCAGTACACTATTTGATGCTTCGATATTTTCCAAATACAACCAATCTAAATTGACTTGTCTCAAATGTCGTAAATAAATAGTCGCAATAATACGAATTCGATTTTCATCTTTAACATCGAATAATTTCCGAAGAAATGCTTGACTAAATCGATATGTGATCAGTCTTGTAATAGATCTTTCATATTGTCTTGACATACACTGAAGCATATGTTCGGATTTAGATTTCTTTTCTTCAATTATAGTCGACATATTGCCTTCGTAACAATCTCCATAAACATAGGCATCGATGATTTCATGAAGAACATATTCATTGTCTCGTTTTTGATCGATCATTTCTTTCTTGGACATCATCAATTTTTTCAACTGAATACAAGCTTGTAATGTATTTCGAAGCATTCGAAAAATAAGTTTTGCTTTTGTCCATCGTGAATCTTGTCGTCTTAGTTTCAATGTTCTTCTGTTATGTTCATTATCCATGAGCGTAATATTTGTTCCTGATTGCTGTTTCGTATCTTCGTAGATAATCGGAATCAAATGATTTTCCTTGACAGATAATAAGAGAAAACGTGAATTAGTTTTAATATGATTGCAAAGTTCTTGACAATCACCACCTTGTCCTCGGACTTTAGCGAATAACATTTGAACACGATTGGTATATTCGAAAATGGACAAGAGTTTACTGTGTGGTCTTCGATCATCCGTTCGAGATATTTCAGATTTGGCTAAATTGATCCGTCGATAATGTTTTATATAGACAGCAAATAGAGCAGCACAGGCATCATTTGCTAATTTTTCGATTGATTTTTGTAATAAACGATGCTTTTCTTTAATATGAGATCTCATTTTCTCGATCAATTGTGCACCTTGACCAATATTTTCATAAATAGACATGAGAAACTCATTGTCTTCGGGTAATGATTGTTGATGATCATCAAATGTAAACTGACTATAGAGAGCCAAATTCGATTGAAACAAATCCGACAAATATTGAGTTTTATTATCGTTGATTTGCTCACATCCATTAGCAAACAGTAATGAATTTAATTGACGGGTATATTTCTTTTCTAATGAGCTTTGTGGTGGACCAACAATCAAAAAGTGACTCATGCGACCTATGAGCCAAGAGAGACCATGTATATGAGTATTTGCATTTTCTTCATCGATATAACTTTGCAACAAATAGTCAGTTAGTCGTGGCAAAATGAATGTAAAGATTGGCTGCACTATTGCAAAATTGATTTCCTCTTCTGCATTTGCCAAGAAACACAATGTGAGAAGAATTGGATCTAATAAATCATTTGAAATTTTATCTATGTTAAGATCACCAGTGAATAAGCGAGCAATATAGTTAACCATCAGACGTGAGATACCAATAGTAGTAATAGTAGAAACAGAATCAGAACCATCTATTTCCTCTTTTTTGTTCTTTGGTTTTATAAATGGAATATCGATTGCTTTGCAAGATTGTAAGAGTATTCGAGATAATAAAAGTTTCTCAAATGATAATAATAGTTCTTTTAGTCTTTGCTTTTGTTCTTCATCGAAATGATCTGGTGGATTTAGGTAGGCATCAATGAATGAATATAGTATGGTCAATGCTGTAGCTTTCTCTTCTTTACTGTCCTTATCATCACAAAGAATTTTGATCCAAGTTAACAGAGTAATTCTCTCATTTAGTCCAAGCCACAACTGTTTGATCAATTCATGATGCTTATTCACGAAAATATGTTGATGTATAAATGACAACTTCTCAGTAAATGATACTGTTACTTTGTCAAGAAGGTAAACCAATACTTTCGATGCTTCTTCACATACTGTTGTAGATTGCCATTTATCATCATCGTTACAAGTCAATTTCAATAATAATTCGAACCATTGTTTTAATTCAATATGTGTAACAAATGTAGTTAAGTCAATATCATCCGACGATTGAAAATGACTCCATAAACAAGATTTACTCCATTCATCATTTGTCGAGAATAATTCTTTGCTGATATTAGAGTTCACAGCGCAGAAAAATTTCAAATGCGTGGTGAACAATCTCAAACAAACAGTAAGAATGAATATAACCGTTGGATTTGTCTGTGGTATATCTTCTATTGTCAGTTGTTGAATAATTTGAAATAATTGTTTGAACGTATCTGGATGAAAATCAAACGAGAAAGAACTATCGATTGAACCATCGTTGAATTGTTCAATGGAATGAATTTCATTATCAATATCAATATGTGCTAAAATGATCGATGAAATGAACTGTCCAGTAAATTGGTTTTGTTCTATTGACAATAATTGTGCGTTTGGATATGCTCCAATCGATTTCAAATAGTCCAATGAAATCGATTTTTTTTCGTCTAAATAATCAATTAGATCTTATTACTATTGTTAAATGAAAACGATTCGTTTCTTTTAAGTACAAAACTTCATATAATTGAAAAGCGTGACAGAGAGAGAGATAGAAGCATATATGTAATACTTGAAACTTGAATTCAAGTATTCAACTATTCAAGTATTCAACTATGCAAATTTTAACTTCTCAAGTGTTCTGCGAATATTCAGTAGGGAAGCGCGTTCCTCACCTAGCATACCTTTTATTTCGGCGTGGAGGCGCGAAGCACTTTCCGAAGAGCCGCGAACCATGTGCGTCTCTGTGTACACCATTATTCCTACTCAGTGCTGCACATTAGCTGAAGGTTTTCACATACTTCTTGTAGTATCCCAGATAATGCCTGCAGTATCTCAACCCAAAGCTGTAGTATTCTAGGAAATACTTGTAGTATTCTAGGTGGCACTTGTACCATTGTATGTGATGCTTTCAGCATCCTAGAGGATGCTTGTAGCATTCTAGGGAATGCTTGTAGCATCCTATGGAATGTTTGTAGCATCATAGGGGATGCTTGTAGTCTCGCAGACAATATCTGTCGATATTAGATTATTCTAGTGGCATTCCCGCCGTTAACTAATTGAGTACTTGAATACTTGAATAGTTGAATAGTTGAGCTAATAGTTGGATACTTGAATTCAACTTTCAAGTTTGACACTACTGAATTCTTTATGATCATGTTTGTAATTTAAGTATACGGAATATTAGCAGAGACAGGACTCTGCTTTTTGTTATCCATTCAGAAAAAGCAACTTCCGTATACGAAAGCCCAGCGTTTCGTTCAAATCAAAAACAAACTACTTTGAAATTTGAGATTCAATATGAATCTGAGTAAATCATATTCTAATCTAGCTTACCATTTTCCGTTGAGCCATTATCTCTGCATTGCTTCGAATCCGATTCCGCATGTGATTTCGAATCGTCATCTGCATCCGAATCTGAATCTGAATCTGTTTCTAAATTGTAATCAGAATTCGATTCTGAATCAGAATCAGAATCATGCAACTTTTTGTTTTCTGATTGCTTTTTCGCAAGCTCCTGTTCATTGATTGCTTCCGAAAGAGCATCATTTAATTCTATGAGTCGACCTTGCATATAGTAAACATCGATTGTATTGAATATTAGTTTACAGAGAATGGATAAAATGCATTTGAACGATCCTTTGGCGAGAGCAAAATTCAACAGACTTTGTACAGTTGACTTTGCTATCAGAGGATCACTTGATGATGATAATTCATTGATGTAATTCGTCAATGGTTGCAATGATTTGAGCAAGAGATTGCTGCTTGATGATGTGAATATCGGTGGTGATAAACATTTTACTGGCATTTGTTCACAGAGTTGACTCGTCAGTGTCAATATTTGAGGTACTATAATCGGATCATTTCTTATTGCTGATTGAATCAAAATTAACAAAACTGATGTTAATGATTGAATGGCAAAATAGGACACCTGTTGGAATCGTTCTTCAGCTATTCGTTGCTTTTGTTTGATAGTATCATGTTTTGGAACATTATTCTTGTTGTCATCGTTTGTATGCTTCATTTCTGACTTTTTCGTTGAATCGAACAATAGATGCGCAAATATTGATTGATTGCCACTTGTACCTATTGTCCTATATGTCGTGAAAGATTTTTGTAATTTATTTTGTTTTTTCCAAACACGTTCGACTTCTTTAAATGCTTCTTCGAAATACTTAATACTGGAATTGCGAACATTTTCTACCAATATCTCATGAATATCTGAATCGACGTCTTTCCATGCTTGTGAATTAACTAATTGAGACAAATACTTTTGAATTTCTTTTGTTGATTGATTTCCAGAATTCCAAGTCGAATGACTATAGCCAACTCCAATATTATTTCTTTTTGTTGTATCAACTTCGTTATTCAAAGATAAAAATAAGCGAACGTCATCTTTATTATTATCGGATGTGAATGCATCAGATGTAAGTGTCGTAGAAGAATTATTAATTAAATCGACAATTTTTGAATTGATTTGAGAAAAATATTGAGTCATATTCTAGTCACAATTGACGGAAGAAAATAAATTAAAGCTCACAATCACAAAGTTTTAGAGCAAGCCGTTACGTCACGTCCAAGAGGGAATCTGAAAAGAGTACAAATTGTCAATTTCTCATCTATCAATACATAGTTCTATACAGATCGACTTTGAAATATCACAACTCGTCTAATAGAAGCATCAATGACCATTGAACCATAGTTTGTTCTCAATGGACAAAGAAACTTTTGATTCAATTCTTCTACACAAGTCATTAGATCACTAATGAAACACTTAAAGCAAATCAATTTTCAAAGACTGATTAACTGGATAACATGAAGTCCGCGTGAAACTCAAAGGCTAACTTAAAAGGTTGCATTCGATTCGACCTTCATGGTATATGTCCAAGAATTGTACTCGTAAACCCAATGCATAACGAAAATGTTCTCTGCTCAAAAAGGTCTAAGCATGTAGGGTGTATGGATGTGGGTGTTGATCTTCTCTAAATCCACACCCACACATGTCCAGCGTTCTAGCAAATGCGATTTTTTCTGCTATATTAATCATGAAAATTATATAGTGTAGAAACGTCTGACTAATCGGTTTCTATCGTTAGAAGATTTAACTTCCAACTATAATTGAGAAATTTTCAAATGGCATGTTGTAACACAGGATAGCACTTTGTTTTTCCAGTTTATTTTTTGTAAAAATCATGATTATGATCGAACAGTTTTGACGCTTCGCATTCCTAAATCAAAGATCAATGTTTAGCTTCATCTGTTTCATTTTAAAGAGAAACGTTAAGGGAAATGAATTCAGTACTATATCCATACCTCAGAACTAGAATACGTTCTTTGGTTAAATTCTAACCGTTTTCAACTCAGAATAAACAAATTATTCTGCTAAGCCATAATACATGTTTCGAATCAACTTCATCCTGCACCGTGAAAAACAGCAAACTAAATTGACAAGAATAACCTGTCTTGCTAATTTTTTATTTCTAAAATTATCGAAATCTTGCAAACTTTTCCAAAGTAAAAATCCTTCTAGAAGATTGAATTTGTAGAAGACTAGAATTTTTACATTATAAGTCCAATGACACTGAAACTTTCACCAACCAATAGTTCTTGGCAAGAGCTGCAAAGAGCCAAGGCTTACTTCGAAAGATTATGACTTTCTAGAGTTATAGAATTATGAGTATGGGTGTGAGTGTGAGACTTCAGCTCACCTATACTCACGCTTTCTCTAACTTATATCTCCATAAAGTGATGAATCTGATTTGTCTAATCAGAAAATCCAACTCGATCTTAGCACTTTTTGCTTATTTCAAATTGTGTATTTTTATTTTCTCTAATTAACTGAACAACAGCGAGTCGAAGATTCAATGTGAGATTTCGATTTTCATCTTCAATGGAGAAAAGAAGAAGAAAGAACATCCGTACCTTCCGGCAACTTTGCGATATGGGGTGCTGCGTAGGGGCAGACTCAATATCTCGATATTTTCCCTACAACTATGGCTAGCTGTAGTTTCTGAACAGAAGATAAGCCTGAACGCAGAGTTCTTGTGTTCAAATGCTTGAGCTTCCCATACATACTAACTAATCGCATCCTAGTTACAAGAGCAGGTGTATGCCACAATATAGTCAACATGCTATCGGACGGATGGTTAAAGATAAATAGCCATTAGTGACTTGTCTAGAGTCATTCCATAGCTGATGCTACTGAG